ATATATATATATATATATATATATATATATATATATATATATATATATATATATATATATATATATATATATATATATATTCTAAGCTCTTTCCTTGCACTAAATCCTAAATAAATGAAATGCTACCTGATTTATTTCTTTGTTAGACTCATGACCTTCCTTTCTTCAGATACTTAAGAGCACATACACAGTGCTCTATGCAACACTGTAGGTTTGGCTAAGAAAGGGTGATGGACACAGATCCCTGTTAGCTTTCATGTCTGAAGATTTACTTACAGTTAAATGAGCATCTGAAGTTCTTAAATTCTGCATTCTTTTTTTTTTAATTGACCATTTTTAATGTGATGCATCAGATATGGCTTAATTCCAAATCTCAAATTTTATAATTCCTATTGATGCATCGTTGAAGTCCAACCCTTACTTGGTAAATAATAATTTCCTGTTTCCTTCAATTTTGCCCTATGGATGAGTTTTCATACATGTCAATACCTGCATTTTACCTGTGGGATTTTGTAAAGACTTATGATATGTGACATGAAGAATGAGATATCAGCACCAAATCCACCAATAATGGCTATGAGATTCTCCTTGATATCACATCTGTAGTTGACAACCAAGTGATCAGATCGGAAGAGCAACTCCAAAGTGGAACGATAAGTCAGCCGGGCATCAAAATAGTTGTCACAGATGAAAAATCCAAGGGTAACGTTAGATAAGAGTCTTGGGTCTGAGTTGATCTGTTTCACTGCAAATGCCAAACTCAGGGAATGCTGATACAACTTTAAAACGGCTCTGACCACACAATTGAGGGATAAGTGAAATGCAGAGGAATTGAAGCAAGGGGAATATGTTCAGTGAAGCAACAATGACAACATAAACTTGTACAGTGTAATAGGCATCAGATATAAATACGAAAGATTTGTGCATCATAAAACAGAGGTCCACATATGGGCTAATTAGCCAGAAAATATAATATGCAATTTAATTGTAGAGTTAGAACACAGGCAAGTTATGAATTGTCACATAGCCAGATGTTTAGACTGCATTTGGTATTTTTTTATTTATCTCTGGAGTCTTTCCCAAAGACAGAAAATTGAGGCTGATTTTGTAAATGCTGTTATTGTTCAATTGTTGCTTTAATGGAATAACAGAATTTAACACAATTATAGAATTAGAAAGCTGGAAGGACCTTGGAGGTCTTCTAGTCCAAACTCCTGCTCAGGCAGGAAACACTATAACATTTCAGATAAATGGTTGTCCAGTCTTTTCTTAAAAACCTGCAGTGTGGGAGCACCCACAACTTCTGGAGGCAAGTCATTGGGATTGCACCTACCACTATTGGTATTATCTTTGCTTTTCTTTGTTTTGTTTTCTTTTCTCCTCTCTACCCCCCCCCCCCCAATTGTTCTATTTCCAGATCCTTGAATGTTGTGATTTTCTTCAACTCTCTTCTCTCCTGTCTCCAGGTACTACTCTATCCAAACTTTTTTGTCTTTCTAATTGGCAATAGTTACACAAATTGCAGGATGATAAATTATGATGAATATTGTTAATGCACAATCCAGTTGAAACCTGATTGAATTCTGTACTGTATTTCCAACATTGTCTGAAGTGCATAGAAAGTTTTTAGTAATTTTATGCAAGGGCTGATTCAGCAGCCAGCCAGTCATTATCACTTTCTATCAACCCAGGCAACACATCTAATGCCCTGGATCATATTTATCAATATGTGAACTATTGTGAACTATTATCTTGCTATATAAGATTTTATAGATCAGTCAATGTTATCCAGAGAACATATGCACTAGTGAAATTAGGGTTTTTTTAGATTCCAAAAGAATCTAAATCTTTAAGGATCTGGCTGCAATATTATCTATGCTATGGAAACTTTGATTACAAATAGAGCTGGTTAAAAATTGGTGTGAAAACTTGCAATGTTTTCTGCATAATTTACATAATTTACTTCTCTCTTTTTTTTTTGCAGTCTTGAATGAGATGTGGAGGGAAAGGAAAAGAAAAAGAGAATTTCTTACAGAGGCGGCATAATTGACTTCTGTGAAGGATGCTCCTCAAAGGAATGTTCCTCAAGCACATATACAATCTGAGCTGTGATCCCGCCAATGAGGAGGTTTCCTGGCTTATACCATTCATGATGGATAGAAGAGGGATCACTTCTGGGGCAAGATGTGGCATTTGTGTGGCACTTCATATCAACCAGCAACCACAGAATGAACACTACCCTCAACATTTTCTTTAGAGAAGGCTTGCTTGTGCCTATCCACACTTCCAGGACAAAAATCCAAGCATTACATATGATGGGACTATTTTCCATCAACTACAAAATTTAGGAACATATTCAGCTAATACACATAATTACACAGTTTTCTTATTGCATTGGTTGACATCAACATGGTGGGCAAAGTATGCCTCCAGTGAATGGAACTCACCACCAGAATCCAAAGAGACAAGATGCAGCCTGCTACGTTTCCTGTGACTGTAGAAGTGAAAGGTTTTCATAACCTCTTCCGGACTGACTTATGAATTATTTCTCAATATTTTCCTGAAAGCTATTGGAGGTGTGTCTTTGATGGTCATTTAGCTTAATTTCAAAAAAAAAAAAACAACAACAACCCAGTCATTTCTGCCAAATGTACCTCCTGGGTTTAGAGGGCTATTATTTCACTTCTACATTAAATCTTTGGAGACAACCATATTCTCAGTTTTTGAAGGAGATACCACATCAAATAATTATACATAATTATTTCTTTAAACTTATTGGTTACCCATGGAATTCTTCGCAAACCAAGTACATGGTTTAAATATGTTGTTCCAATATATCTCTACAGGCTTTTTTTTCTGAAGACCTATCACAGCTTTTCTCCAGGGATTTAAGGATCTTTCATGTTGCTCTCTCTTCATTTGAATTCTATTAAGTCATCCAGTAAGTGTTAAGATGCACTTGAATCTTTGTTTCCTTGGTCCTAGTTAGTTTAGGAAAACATGCATAATTCTTTATGCATGAATAATGCATAAAAATATATAGAGAGAATTGATCAATCCTATTCCTCTGTTCCCCAATTAGGTGGTGATCTTTGAACATTGAAGGTCCACTCTATTTTCTCTAATGATCTCTTAAAAATTCTTTGCAATGAACCTTTTTTCTAAAGATAAAGTATTGCATATAATAAATGGTGGTTCTTACATTGCTCATATTATAATCCTAATACAATGGAGTAAGTTCTGAACGTAAAACATATCTTAAGACCCAATACCAAATGATGATAATGATGATGATGATGATGATGATGATGATGATGATGATGATGATTTATTTATTTATTTATTGCATTTATATCCCGCCCTTCTCCTTTCGGACTCAGGGCGGCTGACAAATGATAAAAAGCTAACATACACAATATTACACCCAGTTAAAATTCAATTAAAACGAAATATTTGAGAATGTCCAATTAAAAGTAATTAAAACCCCTATAAAATCCCCTAGGCCAGTCCCGCTTGCTGGAACAACCACGTCTTGAGGGCG